TTAAATAATCCACATATACAAATTAGAATATATAAAATCGGATTTCCCTATTTTTTTGACATCGATATTCCCGGGATTTTCCGATATCATTATTTATTATTTGTTATCGATAATACAACAACTACAAGGGGAGATTTTAATGTGTGTATAAGTGGAAGATGCTAATTTTAAACCCGATTTATATAATAGACAGGTTCGAAATTCGGAAAATGATGAAAGAAAAACTGCTGGAATTATGTTTTAAAGCCCACGATGTAGCAACTGTTTCAGATAGGGCGAACATTTATTTTGAATGTCCTATTGAAAGGTTATTTTGCTGGAATTATGCTATACATTTAAATTATTGTTGGTGCTGTCTTGAAAACACTGTAAGATCAACAAACTTCCATCGACCATTCAATTCCACAAATATTACAAAAAGAAATAAGTGACCGACTAAAGTTTATATCTAAACTAACATTTTTAAGATAGTGTATACGGCAGATATTTAGGTTTTCAATGGAGTGGAATCTGATCATCTAGTTGTGATGACGATACTCCAAAGGTACACATGTTTTGAAATTAAAGTAAAATAGTTGCAAAGTCAACCCCTATAAGGTCAAAACCTTGTTACAGTAGTTTTTTTTTAAGAAATAAGCTTTATATAAAGTGAGTAAAAGTCCATAAAATGTGGGAGAATATTTTCAATTGCATTTTGACATCAACAAAAAATATATGAAGCAGAATGCAAATATTAAAAATTCGTGGTGAATTTTAAAAAATTTTGCATCACTAGTGAAAGTGGAGTTGGTATATTTCACCCAAATTGGCTCCATTTTGATATTTTGGATTCTCATTGGGTAGAAAATCTCCCTACCAAAAAATATCAGATTCGTGGTGAATAAAATACACCCGCATAATTTTTAGAAAGTTGACGTTTTCAGATCAGTTTTCCAGTAATTTAGTTTTTATTTTTTCCAAACAACCTATTACCAGACAATTTACAATGGCATAGTCACCTTATGAAGGCGGGTATAAAAAGGTCGGCCCGGCCGAACTTAGCCACGATTTTACTAGTTTATTTGCTACATTTTTCTTGACAAAACCAGTAAGGAAAGATCAAAATTCAAACGAAGCCTACTATATGATACCCTTCACCACTTTGGATACATACATGAGATGATAATCTTTGGAAGGCCATTGAAATTTAATCGAGACAAAAAAATTGTGATCTCCATAGATATTTAAACCAATAAAAACCCATTCTGAAATTTATGAAAAATATAAATAGGAAATTTATAAAAAGGAACTGATTAAACAAAAACTTCACATACGTCATATAGGGCCTAATTCAGTACGCTGTGCAAAATTTTGTCTCAATCTGAAAAATATTGGAGGAGTTTGGACGAAACTATATATGGGAGCTATATCTAAATCTGAACCATTTTCAATAGGATTCGTCCTTGGGCCAAATAAGGGACTTGTGCCAAATTTAATCCAAATCGGATAATGAATGCGACCTGTACTTTGTTTACAATTTAACATCAACAGACGGACAGATGGACATGCATAAATCGACTCAGAAAGTGATTCTATGCATATTCTCAAAAGGAACCATGAGTCTATCTCGTTTCTTTTTGCCTGTTACAGACATATGCACAAATACATAATACCCTTGTTATACCCTTATTATCCTTGTGATTGCCCGGTTCAATTTAATTCTTTTAACCACTTGTATCCGAATAAAACTACATTTCTAACTATTTTCGAACACACTACATCCCACAAGTGAGTTATAGAAAATTGCATTTATTTTTAATGCCACTACACAATGCAATGCAATGGTCATCAGTTAAACAAAGATTAACTTGGCATGATGAATAGAATACCAAGCACAACCTACACCACATTTAGAATAGAATTCATGTTGAAAGCAAACAAAAATTCCACTTGAAGCAAAATTCTATGATTACCTTTTTTGCAGTCATTCATTTCAATTTTTTCCTACGAGCTGCCACGAGACAACGACACTATTTTTACACCATCGCCTTGCTCTCACCTTCTATTCTAAAGAATCGATTTAATTCACATCTTGTTAATAAATGGTCTTTCATTGATTGAACTGTTCTTTTTCCGGTATCTGTTTTCCACGTCGCCTAGTTTGCTTTAATTAAATCTGTTGAGAGGTCTTCTACGATCCCATTTTCACCGTTCATTATTCAGTTTTGGTTTTTGTTTTTCCCCTTATGGAATCGTTTGACAAGTTTTTCATCTGTATCGGTGTGAAGCACTCAACGAAACTGGAGTAGCTGCTGTGCAACTATCCGTGTAGGTGGTGAAGATAATTGATGGCCATGGATGGCACTTGAACTTCCCAACTGAATCTCTTGTTGCGGACAAAAGTTTCGCCATTTAAGTTTTTGCGTTTTTTAGAGTGCAAAAGCCGTTTAAAAGTTTTACAGGCAATTAAAGAATGAAAAAGTTATTAAAACAACGAAATGCTTTCAAACAGGGGATTATATTTTTTCTTGTCAGAATTTATTAGATTAGGAATATTTAGAGATAAATGTATTGAAAATATACATTTGTTTTTTCCGAAATTCATTGTTTTGCATTTTGTATTTTATATGTTTTTGTTAGATTTTTAGTCGAATTGGCGGATTTTTTTTGGTAGAAAACCTATCAAGTAGATCCTAATTTAGGTATAGATCCTGTAGGATATAGGAGTGCACTCAAATTTGGGGGACTGCATTAATGGCTACTAAATTTCAGGAACACAACAGGAATTCACAGTTATTGTTTGGAAATAAATGTTATATCGGAATGCAGCTAAAAACCTTCAAAATACCGCAATGGACCTTGTTTTCAACTCTAAATTACGATCTCTATAGTGACTTCAACATAAGGAACTGATCAAACTGACAGCATTCTATTCTGATCTGACATAATCCTTACCAAAGGGTAATATTTTCGATCTATCCATAAACGAAGACCAATATTGATGACATGTTCAACACAAACAAAATAATTTTCGGGAAATTCCAAAAAAATTTGGAAAGCATTCGTCGAAAGGTAATCTAAAAAGGCGTGGCAATATTTCCCTTTTCCAAGACATTTTAAAATATTCGGATTGAGATTTCTCGAAATCCTTGCAGTTTAGGTATATAGTGTCTTTGGCAATATTTATACCCTTCACCACACTGTGGTTCCTTTTGAGAATATGCATAGAATCACTTTCTGCCTCGATTTATGCATGTCCGTCCGTCCGTCCATGTATTTTTGTGAACAAAGTACAGGTCGCATTTATAATACGATTTGGATGAAATTCGGTTTCGGCCGACTTTATGTAAATGGTGCACCATACTGCCAATTTTGGTTCGATTGAGACACAGGGTTCTGAATTAGGACTATATTGGCATGTGCCGAGTTTAGTTGAAATTGGTTCAGATTTAGATATAGCTCCCATATACAGTTTCGTCCGATTTTATGTAATGGAGCATTTTACTGCCAATATTGGCCCGGATGAGACAAAATTTTGTACAGAGTACTGAAGTAGGTCCAGATTGATGTATGCAAAATGTTGCTGGAATCGGTTCAGATTTAGATATAGCTATTGAAATTGGAGGAAATCGGTTCAGGTGTAGATATAGCTCCCTCATATATTTTTGTCGGATTTTAAGCAAATCGTCCAAATGGAGGAGCCTATGTCTGTTCGCTTTATATGAAATATTGCATAGCATACAAAATGGTGGATGCCACGGTTACTCAAATACCTCTATTTATATAGAGATTTTATACATATTTTCATATATTTCGTATTGGTATGTGTATGTTTTAATTTAGTTCAAATGTTTTTACTTCATGCAGATAATTTCGTCCGATTCGATTTCAATGTTCCATTCCAGATGCTGCCATTCTATCTGAAGAATCTTGTACATATGAGCATCTCTTGCACGCACCCAAAGTGGTGACGGGTACCATATAGTCGGCCCCTCCGATTTTTGAAATTTCCTTACTGGTACAGTTATAAGTTTGAGGAATATTTTTGTCTAATACGTTAACCCTCAGTCGTCTCTCTGAAGAGGGTTCCCCTTTTCCAGAAATGATTAAAAACTTATTAAAAATGGGGTCTCAGCCTAAAACTCGAAAAAGCCAAAAATCTTAATAAAAATATGAGAACTCATTTTAGGGTTGAAATCGATCTTATTACAAGTTTATGACACATTTTACCACAACATGTCGTTTTAGAAGGATGGTATAAAAGACAAACATATTCTCCATCAAATTATAGCTTAAGTCACTGAACAAAAGAAATCGGTATAAAAAAGTATATATATATATACCGAATATATAGACGTCAATTTAGGACACAAAATTCACAAATTTATATTACCAATTTTTCATACGAATTTCCCAGAACTTTTTTTCAACAAATTGCATGAGAGTGACATGAAACTTCATTTTTCGTGGATATTGTCAAAGAATAAAATATTTTACGTCAATTTTCACTACGAGTCTCAAAACAAACTATATATTTAAATTCAAAAGTTTTTTTTAGAAATTTACAGTATTAAATTAACAATATTGGCAACACATTTTTTGTTGACTTCAGTATGTTAAGTAAACACATTGCAAAAATGTGTCGAAATCTTCAATAAGACTGCATGTTACCAGTATTTCGTTAAAGTCAAAATTATTCTACGTCGAATTTCACTATTTGTTACAAAAGAACAGATTTTTGTAAACACGATATTTATGTGTATTCTATCTTATGATAGTGTCATACATATAAGGTGTGATATGCACATTTTGGTTTAAACCAATATGCCGAAAATATACTTCTCATGATTTACAATTTTATTAGCCTTCCTTTCATGTTAATGGGTCGTGAAATCGATTTTTTTAAACATCAAAAAAGCATATATCTTTCAAAAAAAAAAAAAAGAATTATAAACTATTCGGTAAATATGGAACTGATAGAAGTACGTTTTTAAGAAAGAATCGTTTCGGTTTTTGCCTAATTAACTAATCCCACAAAGTTTTTTCTAAAAATTTAATACAAATTATATCATTTAAACTTACCTCTTCGTTATTCGCGGTCTCAGCGGCCACATTATAGCTATGTATCGATCTATCGATATGGCAACCAATGTGTATGCACTCACCAACACCGACACGGCTTGTGAATAGTTGACAAAATGACACAACGCTATGCCAAACGGCCAATAGCCCAGTATAAAGGTCGATATAAACGAGGAGGGAACACAGAACAGTGACATCAATATATCACCCATGGCCAGATTTGCAATGAAGTAATTTGTGACGGTGCGCATGCGTGGTGTTGATTGGACAATATAGCACACGGTGCCATTACCCAGCAGCGCGAATACAAATATCGGAATGTAGAGGAGATAAACTGCTGTAATAAAATATATCGATGACAGCGTGTCACCTTCGCCACCATCATCATCTCCACACGCGTCCAGCGACCATGTTTCATTCAGCCTCGTATCAGGCTGACATTCACCATCACAATTGACGGCGGCATACATGGATGTGCTGACGTTATGGTCACCACGCAATAGGCGGAAAGATTCATTCGCGCTGTGCTGTGTCAGTTGATGCGTTATCGATGAAATCGTTGTGGTCGTTACACTGACCAGTGATTCTAACAGATGATACGTAGATGTAGACGATGCCGTTGTGCTATTCCCACTCAAATATTCACTATAATCTGTATCGGACTGTGTCCGTACATCCATATCGGAATTGAATGCATCCAAAAGTAATTGCTGTTGGGGTTCGATGAAATACAGGTTGCTATCGCCACTGTCAATGACACTGTCGTCGCTGTCACTCGGTTCTATGGCTGCATTCGTTATGGTAAAATTTGTTGTCGTTGTTGTAGTGTTTGTTTTGTGTTGACCACCACCACTGCTGCTGCTGCCGATGTGATACATTTTCTCTATCGTGGCCACATTTAAATGAGGCAATATACTACGAGCCATATATTCTCGCAGAAAATATTCCATTTCGTTGTCGTTATAAAATATAAACAGCAGCTCAAGTGCAATTAGGACTTTATTATGCTTCTGTTGCTGTTGCTGTGGCTCTGCTCAGCTCCTGCAGTGGCCAATTATTCGTCCCACTTGTTATTCCAGGTTATTAATGTGGAAATTTTCAGTTTCAGCAGATACCGTTATTGCTGAGGCGGGAATGTTTGCTCAGTCCGGACCGTGTGTGTATGTGTGTTGTTACAACATTTTTAATTGCAAATTTCACAAAAATAAAGAGTTCAGCCATTGGATGGATGTACCGTAACCGCACAAATTCATAAGCTTTCCATGTTTATGACATTAAATAAAACTTTGCATGTTGACGATGATGTGGTTTTTGCATTTCCTTGTAAATGGTTTTTTAATAACTTGTTTAATGCAATGCAGTGCGAGAATATTCTCAGGATGGTGTATACAGGTTTCCTATTACAACTATTTTTGACAATATATTTCACTTTTGTATTTGTCAAAATGGCATTTGTTCTGGGACACACTGTGGTAACTGTGTTGTAAATTGTGTATGATATCTCCTTTGTGGTTTATCCTGGCACTTTAAATTTTACTCATCCTCGGTAAGTGCTCTTAAGATTGAATCGTTTATTTCATTTCAGTCAATACTTGAAGTTTTCTTCAGTCAGTTGTTACTCATCTCAAATGACATTTGAAAGTTTGACAGATCAATTTCATCATTTGAGAAGAAACTTCCCAATTGAATTTTCCACATCACATCGTTTTTAAGATACCTTAAAGTAAATAAAGATGTATGAAAAAAATAAATAATTGATACACTTTCAATTTATGTAAGTAGAAACGTTATTTAATAATCATAAATGAAAAGTTTTTTGAAAAAGGTATTAATTTTAAATTTACATAGGTCAATTTTTGAATTCCATAAAATAAACGCGTTACCTATTAGCTATAAAGATGCAATTTCGCTTTAAATAAAGGAACATTTTTAAATATATTATTAAGATGTGTTATATGATGTTTGTAACACATCAATGTATTAGATTTTTGAAGTGGCATCTGCCTGGTCTTAAAAATGTCCATCCTTGGACATATAAAAAAGCCTCTCTTTTCTCAAAAAAAATATAAAAATGACAAGATTTTGTAGGGACTTACGAATTTTCTTTTTCCATATCTGTGATTTGTCAAATATAATGCACTCACACCAACTTAATTTGTTATTGCGTCGTTTAGCTATCTCCTCCATCGTAGCGAAGAACTTCGTTTTTGGGAACAATAAATGATGTGGGACGAACATTTCTGTTCTGTTTTTTCAGAAAAAACTTTAAATTAATTTGTAAATTTCAATTTTTATTTTTTCAAAATAAAAAAATGTTCGATATATTTTTGATAGTTAACTTTGTTGTTGTCATTAGAACTGAAATATTAATTGGTACTAAAAGAATCTGGACATTTCTACTATTTATTTGTGCACCCAGAAGTTTGTAAAGCCGCAAAATGTGTGAAAAAAGTTTGGAATTTAGTACTAGAAGGTACTAAATATTATATTTGAATGGAACCGGTGGAGATACAGATCTTAGACTTTGAATGTAGATTAAGCTGTTAAAACAAACACAACGTGCAAAAATATTTGTTGGAAATTAGTCAAATCTCGACTATAATTTGTAAATTGGTAGGTTCTTATCAAAGAAGACTTCTTTTGTAATGTTCTGGTAATGATCGGTTAATATTTAGGGGATGACATGGACCAAATACTTTATTTTTGTCCGTTTTTATACCCTCCACCATAGTTAGAGGATATATTAATTTCGTTTTTCCGTTTGGAACTCATCTCAATAATCATTTTCGACCATATAAGGTATATATAGGTATTTATCCTACAAAGTATGGAATTTTAAGACCATTTTAAATTACAGCAATTTGAGGATTTTATACTCTACCATGTGTTATCAGTATCTGTCCACGTTTTGGGGGTTTCAGATTTTAGGGAAAATTCCCATGAAAGAGAAGTTGACTATAAATCTAAGAGGAATGGTTTACCTTTAAATTTATACCAATTATACAGATGTATCTACTAGAGGATATGTGAGTTATACTTGAGTATTTACTGTTGTCTACGTATTTTGATATCGCTATGTAATTTAACACGATGTTCCGGTTGAGGTCAATGGCGACACCTATTGCTTTCGGTAATGATCAGATTATATATAGGGGATGAAATGGACCAAAAATTATTTTTTTCCGGTTTTCTAATCTGTCTAGAGGACATAATTATAAGAGGAACATCACAAATTGTGTACGGGTTTACTATTAAAATTTGCTGTTTTGATAGTGATTGGTCAATATTTATGGGGATCGAGTAAGCCAAGAAATTTGTGTAAAATATAAACATTTCAATCTTATGATTTAAATTTTCAGGAGAGTGCAAATGTCGAAAAATTCTCAATCTCGGAATATAGATCCGCAGAAAGTTAGACTCGTGGTAGTTGTAAAGATGTCATATGGTCGGCTCCGTCCGACTATACTACTCCTCTCACTTTTTTTGATAACATAAAGGAAAAATTATCATATAACAAAAAGGTATATTCTTGTAGTTTCTGGAACAGACCAAATATGTAACTATAAGTATGTTCCAGCACTAAAGAACAGAACATTTTACAAACGAAGTGGATATAATAGTTTACACCCTATATCATATACCCAATACAGCTGAAGGTTTTATATTATCATGATAAATGTTAAATTCATATAATGATAAAGTTGAATTCATATTTTAAAAGAATTTTAAAAAGAGCATATATCATCACTTTTCTCAACTTTTTGTTTTAGGGAATTAATCGATGTGTGTACTGAGGCATCCTAATAGTGGTAGCGAACATCCGTTTTTATAACAAAATATTTTTTTATTACACTTGTACATATCTATTCACTTGTATTTGACCGTCATTAACTTAACTTTATAGACATTTATTTTAAAGTTCTCAGACATTTCACCTGAAAAAGACATTTGAACTTTTACGACATTTTCGTGAATGTGAATTTCAAAGTTTCGTTGATTTCAGGGGAAGAAGGTGTTTTCTTTTATATTGTCTAAAAACATTTTTTTTTTTTTGCAATTGGTGAGTCTGTAAAAATATGGCACGTGCTTTTCTTTGTTGTTGAAGCCAGTAGTCAGTCTGCGATACATATATATTTTTCTTTTATTTAATACAGCGTCGACCCATTTAATATACCATCACTGTGGAGAAGCACGAACAAGTTAATAACAATATAAATTATTTTTAAATATATTTTTACGTGCTAAAATGTCATTCCATTATATTCATAATACGCATATTTTTAATTTTCAAAATGGTAACCTGATCATGGAGTTTATCATAATATCCTTCATTGGACAATTATACACAAGAGAGGAATTTATCAAACATGGTTTGTGTGAATTTAACGAGTTTGTTGAAAGTATATTGGCATTTTTTCAGTGTAACTGAAACTGTTCTCATATAAATCAGGTAGGGGATATCTTTGTAATATAATTAAGTTGGGAATAGATAAGTCGTAAATAAATAGTATTCTTTTTAATTAATTCTACAAGAACACAGAATGCTAAATGTTTACTCACCAAAACCGCAGATTGTTAAATTACAGCCACTTCGGCGGAAAAATCTATAAAACAACCAGCATTTTTTTTCAATCTCCATGAATCCGAAATGCAAAATTAAAGGCCCTTCGGTGGAAAAATGCTGCTAAAATATTTAAATTGCGGAATATGAGTTGGGACCTTATTATGGTGCTGTAGAAAATTGTGGACTAATATGTATATATATATATGACAACATCGTAGTGTAGTAGTTTCCTTGTACTGTTCAATCTAATTTACTGTTCCCACAGAAAATCGAAATATTTATATAATCAGCCTAAAAATATGCAGTACTTATTATTCAACATTCGATGTGATTTATTCCAAGAAATTAAGATCAAAAATGATACTTCGCTTATTTTTTGATCGTATCAGCCGAATAAAATATATATGTTCTCGTCGATTTAGCCATGAAATCACTGTAGATCTTGTAATATTTAACATAGATCTTTGAAATTTTGCCTACACATTGCTATTACTCCTAGAGTGTTGAAAATGTTAATTGTATTAATTTCGAAATATTTGATATTTTGAGATAGTTTTCTTAGTGAATTGACTGTGATTTTGATTGGGTAGTAATTCTTTCACTGGTAGTTTTAAAATAAATAAAATTAATCGATATCTGGTGTACTCCTAAATGTAGCCCTCTATATTAGACAAGAACATGCCCGCTACTCCTTTAGTGATTGTGGGAATTATTAAAACATATTGTTACGAATATAACTTTAGATTTAAGTTAATTTAGATGAATTCCGTTAATTTAAGAATTTGAATTGTAACGTAAATTTCTACTACGCAGTTTATTCGAATAACTTCACAACAACAACTACTGTATAGATTTTTCTACCTCCCTCCATTTCCTCTTTCATTTTCTATTTTGTTATTGACGTACAATTCTTGTTAAACGTCATCATTGATGATCGCTTAATTCCTCTTTCTTTGTTACTCCCTCGCCTGTATATGTGTTGTTGTTATTGTTCACTCAATGTAAGTTTGTATGTGGTTGTTGCATTGGTAGATTGTTCGTAATCTAGGTGTTACCAGATCGTCTAGAAACTTCTGTAGCGACAGGCAAGGCTCATATAAATAGGGGAAATAGCAAGGCAGTTAGTCAGTTGTGAATCAGATCGCGAATTGAAACCGTCAAGTAAAGTAAAGTGCAAAGTAAAGTTGAGTCAATAAAATCATTGTAATATTCGTAATCAGAAAGAACCCGCGTTTTATTTAGTACGAACTGTATTGGGAAATAAAACAACGTCTACACGGGATTAAGTAAAATCCAAGAACGTAATAATATTATTTTTTTACAGAAAACTGCACATGTCAGATGAGCTAATCAACCTACACACCAATATCGACCATTTTAGTACCATTTAGTACGTTTGACCTCTTGTTGTATGTATTTCCAAAACTATCCCAATATCTCAACACTGCACACCAA